GCCACAACCACAGATTTTCAAATACCTGTGGATCTAAAATTCTTCTTTGTAATAGGTGGAGCAGGAATCCCACCAAAATATCCAATGATCACAGTTAGCAATTCACATTCTCCACCGTGTTACTTACATGCACACACCACCTTTGCTCATGTTGTCTTTTCTTTCTGGATATCTTCCTCACCAATGCTTATCAAAATTCCACTTATCCCAACTCTAAGACCTCCTAGCTGGAATAAAATGTCTTTTTACACTCTTTGGTTATTAGTTATGACATTCATTTCATTATATCTCTTACTTCTCCTCACTTCCATTATAACTATAGATTATAATTTCTCTGGAGGATGGTCTGAGTCATTTATCTGTGTGTCCCTGGGCCCATTGGACACATTGTAGACACTCATTCAATACAAGTTTCTGAGTTGAACAGATCAGGGATTTTCAGATTACCTGCTAGTGTGACGGCAATGGAGACAGAGTCATATCCCAAGGCATTTGTGGCATTGCAAGTATAGAAACCCACATCCGCTTCCACTGGTGCCAAGATCTGTAAGGAATCATCTGGCTGCAGAAGAATCCTGGAGCAACAGAAATGAAACAGACCTGGTCAAGTCAGCTGACTGCTTTCTGATATTTAATATTGGTAAGGCAGGAAGGAACTTTATGGTATATTCAAAGGACTCTGTTTTAACAACAGAGACAGACTAACTACAAGTTACTTATCTTTATTAAGCCATCCAATATTTTAAATAATAGTAAGACTGTTTTGTGAAAGAATCTTATCAGATGTAACATAACGTAATATCAGGTGTTCAAGCTGTTTTATATTAAAAAATAAAAATTGACTTCATGATTTAAATCTTCATTATGTTCCAGGAATATGTTTACCTTTGTATCAATTTCTAAACAAGAATAATGAAAGCAGGCTTAATAGAAATTCAATAGAATTGAGCACTTGGGATGACTGAACTTAATAGGTCACTATTTAATTTCACCACACTGAAAAGGCAGGAATGAAAATTTAATAAATGCCCAAATCCATTATTATTTCTTCCCTAAAACTGGCAATAATTTGGGCCAGTCCTGTAGTCTAGTAGTTAAGGGACTCTGGATCATACGTGGTTCACTGTGGTTCTGGTCCTGGCCCTGGAGACTTGAAAAACATGCCAGGTGCATATGTATACATGCCCAAATATTGACAGGATGGAGACTTGGAGAAGGGATTATGGTGTGGCCATCCTCTGTTTGGGGTGCTTTCTGTTCTCCTACTCCGGCGAGTGCATATAATTTCTGACAATTAAAAAAAACCAACAAACCTAGAAATGTCTTTCT